CTTGACGTCATTATTTTTACCATAGGTAGTAGTAGTTTGGTTTATCATTAGGTTTCAGCCTTGTCATCTCTCCCGCCGCAAAGCCAAACTACTACGTGAAGAAAGCTATTCCATCCTTGAACGAGATATCCAAGCTTGAAATTTCTCTGCAGCACGTTGTACTTGAACATCGGGTACCATGTTCTTGCGATGATAATAAGGTACCAGCATGTCTCCATGCACCGCGCCTTCCAATCTTCTTGATGATGGTCCTGCCAAATGGTAGGTACCCAAACTATTGACCTTAGTCACGGTAAGGGGCCCGATCCACCTATCACTGAATTTGCCAACTGGTGCCTTGTCGCGCATTAAGACTTGTTCTCCAATTCGAAAACGTCGTCGGGGAGCCACAAATTGGTCGTATCGCTGTTTGTCACGTGCTTGCCTTTCCTTGACTCGTGCTCTCGCTTGTTCTCGACTCGTTTCGGAAAGATGTTTAATCACCTGCGTACGCTGAGCAATCTCCAATTCAATTTCACCTTCCACATAATCAATCCTTGGGGCGGGCCATGTCGCGGGAGTGCGTAATTCATACCCGAAAAGTAACATGGATGGTGAAAACTTAGTTGACTCATTTGGCATTGTACGAATTGCCAATAACGCCATATCAACGTACTCATCCCATCGATCGGTTTTGTCATCATCCCTTGCTATCTTGGCAATTGTTTGAGTCAACGTTTGATTCAATCTTTCACATAGACCATTGCTTTGAGGGCGGTATGCCGTGGTAGTAATGTGCCTGCAACCCATATCTTGTAAGAATTCCCGTACAAATGCTGATGTAAAATTGGATCCTCGATCCGTCAAAATATATGAAGGGACACCATAGGTCTTCACCACGTGATTAAATAAGAAGTCTGCCGTTGTTTCCTCGTTGATATTGGGCACTGCAGCTGCTACCGGCCACCTTGTCAAGTAATCAATTGCAACCAATAGATAGCGATTTCCATGTCTTGTTGGCTCTAAAGTGGGACCTACTGCGTCACAGCCGATCATAAAGAATGGACGTGTTGGTGTTTTGATGGGATGTGCTTGAGCATAACGCCGCCTTGGAACACGTTGTCGAAATTGACACGTTTGGCATCCTTTGACAAAATCTTTGACATAGTGTGATAGACCAGGACTCCAAAAGTTTTCACGAATGCGTTGCCATGTTTTAACTTCACCGAAATGGCCTTCATTATGTACTTGTTTGACGACTTCTTCGATGTTGCCTTGATGAAGGACTTCAGGCCCAAAGTATGTGGGATCGTTGTTCTTGCGGTATAGCCTTCCTTGGTATGCTTCTAAACGTTGTGCTTGATACCTTATCTTGCGCTTGGTAGACTCATCCGCACCATGAGGGTAACGACCTTCCGTGATATAATAATATAAGGCCAAGTAGTAAGGATACTCCATAATGAAAGAAGATGGGTAGAGAATAAGGCGAACAATCGCCTGAAGTATAACAGTAGCCAATAAATAAAGTGAGTAGGATCGAATCAAGAGTCTTGTATATATATAAATGTGAAAGAAGATGATAATAGATAGATGTTCTTTATTTCTTAATCATTGACGTCTTTTATATCATAAATTGAAAGTCATAGACACAGCACTCTTAAATGTTATCATAATTTGTCATCGTAATCATCAGCATAAAAGGAATGGATCATCAATCATCTAGTCTAATGTTCTAAAGGAAGTCGAGAAAGTGCGTCTGCTGGATTTCGCTTGCCAGGATGATGTTGAATTGTAAAGTTGTATTCCAGCAGAGCAGCTGCCCATCGTTGTAACTTGGGGCTCGGTTTGGTGTTGGATAAAATATACGTAAGAGCTGAATTATCGGTGCGAAGGATAAAATGGCGCCCGGCTAAGAAATGCCTAAACTTGTGTACGGCCCAAACGATCGCCAATGCTTCTTGATGAACAGCGGCATAGGCTAACTCAGGTCCACGCAATACTCGGGATTCGTAGGCGACAACAGTTTCATCCTCATCACTTCCATCGGGGCTTTGCGATAAAATGGCACCGACAGCTTCACCCGATGCATCAGTGGTTAATATGGGTACTTGCATTCGATCGGGATAAGATAAGATGGGTGGACCAGTAAGGATAATCTTGATGTGGACAAAAGCGGTCTCTTGATCAGGGCCCCAAAAGAATGGTTTCTTGTTCTTGTTCTTCAATAATTTGGAAATAGGATGCATGATGGCAGCACAATCTGGAATGTGACGTCGGTAGTAATTCACCATACCAACAAATGACCTTACTTGATCGATGTTTCTTGGAGGCAACATTTTGCGGATCTTGACCACGTTGTTTGGGGATGGCAGCAAACCTTCACGTGAGACGATGTGACCAAGGTATTCCACATAGGTGCGAGCAAATTCACATTTGGCTCGTTTCAATCGCAAGCCAGCTTGATTGCATACTTGTAGAATCTGTTCAAGATGCTTGATGTGTTCTTGTAGACTTGAAGAGAAGATGATGATATCATCAATAAAGACAAAGACGAATTTCCCAATAAAAGGTCCAAGGATGCTTGTCATCGTGCGTTGGAAACAAGCTGGTGCAGAAGTTAAACCAAACGGCATGACCGTAAATTCATATGTACCATACTTGGTGACAAAACCACTTAGCTCGATCGCTTCTTGAGCCAAGGGTATTTGCCAGTACCCGCTGGCAGCATCCAAAGTCGAAAAGATTTGGGCACCAGCCATTGATCCAAGTAAGTCGTCCAAATGTGGGAGTGGATATGCGTCTTTCATGGTCTTGGAATTCAATTGCGGGTAGTCAATAACAAGTCGTAGCTCACCACTCTTCTTGCGAACGAAAAAGATGGGAGAAGTCCAAGTTCCTTTGGATGGACGTATAAGACCAAGATCCGTCATAGTGGCCAACTCCTTCCTCAAGTGCTCCTCTTCCTCCCATGTCAATCGATAAGGCTTGGAACGAACAGGGGTGAAGTCATGGAGTGGTATGTGATGCTCGTATCCATGGACACGGCCCAATCCACTGGTTTCCACGAAGCAATGCTGATAATGATCCAAGAGATCGGTAATCTCCGCTGGCATGGATTCATCATCATTTCCGGTCACACTTGCATTCCCCAACAACTCTTCCTTGTAATAACGTAAAAGTTTGCTTGCATCGTCATCAGGAGGGTCCTCAACAGCACAATGCGACTTGTCCGCAACACTCGTCATGAAAACGTCAACATGTTCTTCTTCCTTGTCAACATTGCCTTGCTCATTGCCACCACCAGTGATATTCACCGCGAACACAGCACCAGCTTCGTCTTCAAATGCCTCGTCCATGTCTTCAGCTTCGTTGCCATACAACACCACCGACCCATTGCCATGCTTGATAGGTATGATAATACTGGAATCAGTATGATCAATACGGATACCATGGGCACGAAACCAGGTCATTCCTATCAAGCAAATTGGGCGGTGAGTGTCATATATACACATATGCTCAGGGCGATACTTCCCTGCTACCCGAATAGGTACGGGTTGAATGAAAAGATAGGGGACCACATTTCTACGCACTGCAAAAAGTTGTGAATGTCGCTTGTTCTTCATAAAACCTTACCCATATATACATTCGGACCTCGACAATCCACTGCTGGTAACCCTTTGTATCTCCGACCTCTGATTGGCAAGAAATCGCCGAAATAAAAACGTCTCCTTTTCACTGAATTGACCATATCGGCATACGATGTAAAAAACGTACTCCGATGTTCCTCCAAATTTGGTCACATATGGACGCCGCAATACGAAATCTGGGAAAAAAACCCGAACTTAATCGAACCAAATGCGCCCATGTTATGAGGGAAAAACTACCCAAATTGGGTGGAT